GGGGATGTATATTAATTACGGTGACAGAGATTTTCAAACATAGATCTGAGTGTAACAAGGGGTGCGCATTATATACGCAAATATATTCAATAACCTTCCATTAATGGTGAATTTGGAAATACAACCATATTTTGGATATGTCAAGGGGAGAACTCAAAAAAAGACATTGACCATAGACTACAATATACCATTTCACTTATCCTGAGACAATGGCTCCTGTTCAGCGAGTTTGCTTCCTTTTCAAATTTTAAACATTGAATAACACTTTAACGCCACCTGTGTTTAAGATGGAGTTTAGTTAGTTTCCTTGTATGTGTAGGCTAGACAGAATATGATCCCTTTTGTCAAGAAAAATTCAACATATACTAACAATTTGAAGAAAAAAACTTTAATAAACATAAAAATATCACATAAAATAATTAAACAATGAATGGTCAACAGTTTTTTCCGTGGGGCTGACTCACAGAAGTACTGGCCATGGCATCAGAACTTTCATTACGATTCGAACCTGCAGCACCTTGTGGCCAAGCAGATGACAATCTGACCAAGCTAGGTACAAGACCCAAGACGTAAGCAGCAGATGCTGTGGCGAAGCAAATGGGAGGGCACAAAATTAGAAATTAGGGCAATCTCAGATATTTTGCCCCCCATGGACGTAAATTGGCTCCACCACTGAGCAGATGAGCCCTTGTGAAAAAAGTTGTCGTTAGTGGGACAAATGTTCATAGCAAGATACAAGCTCTGGTCATTTAGACATGAGTGGAGAGTCTTTTTCATGGGGTTGAGTAATCAACTTCTATCTTATATCTTCCACGTTGCCATTTTGATTGAAATGAGATTACCATTTTTAAACTTTTCTGCATAATAAGAATTAAAATATCACCATTGTCTTTAGAATTAGAAATTTCAAAATTCACAAAATTCTGTAAGTCAAATAGTAATTACTTGCACTTCAAATTTAGCAGGAAGTACTATTTTATTGCTTTCTACAGGAGGTTGGGTAGCCATTTGATTTTCTTGATCACTAGGGAAATTCAGTTTGTCAGCTTCATGAACTTTCATATGTTTGAACAAATTTCCGATATCACTGTCTTGTTTGCCACAAAATTCACATAAATAAGGTCGATCTCCAGTATGTAGTTTGATATGAGTGTTTAAATTCGAACGATGACCGAACTGTTTGCCACATTCCCCACAGACATAGGGTTTCTGTCCACTGTCTGGGTGAGTTCTGTAATGATTTTCAAGTTGAACAAATGAAGGTAATGTTTCTGCACAAACACGACATTTTAAACTCTGTCCAAGTTTATCTACTGGTTTCTTCCCCTCAGCCATTTATTATCACTGTTTAACTTTGGCTTCATGAAACAAAAGTCTGGAACAAAAAATTGTAGTAAGTACCAAATTGAAATTAAAGGTGATCTTCTGCCTACCAAACATTCAGACCTGGTTTATTTCTAGGAGTGAAGCAGTGTTGCTGGGGTGGAGACTTTATTAGGCTCGCACTACTGCAACTCAGTAGTAACTTTTTAAGTCATGAGATTCACATGAGATTCATCTAAACTATAGTATGCCTCATGTTTGTAATAAAATTTCAATAATCACTTAGATAACAATCTACGTTGACCAAAAAAACAATTCAACAGCTGTATTGGAAAGTCAGACCACAACAACAATACAACATATTTGTCATAATAAAATTCTGTAGTTGGAAATGGATCTGGTTCGATATAACCCTTCTTGCAATTGCAAACATAGTTTAACGCACATCAATTTTTGGGAAAACGTAGTTAAAATATTACTCTATTTGTACAATGACTGCCAAAGTGCATAATCTGGATAAATATCGTTTATATATTTAATTTAATAACCAGCCAAGCGTCAACAAAACATCCATTTTCCAGCAGGTATCGTCTAAAACATTTTTATGGATTTAGCAATATTTATTTTACATTTCATTCTGAACACATCTAGAAGGATTAGCTTATACTAAAATCTTGATTTGCAAAGTTAAAAAGTAGTGAGGAAATATTTGATTTGGAATCAATTTCGATAGCTAGAAGAGAAAATCGATCGAGATCCAAATACTATATTTATGCTAGCGTCTGGACAATCTAGAATACATGTAGGTCAATAAAGGGGAGTAACTCTCTCATCAAAACAATTTTTTAGTAATTTTTGATCTTCAAAACGTAAACTTTGATAACATTGGTGATCAACTTTAATTCTTGCTATGGTTGATTGCAAGACCTATCTTTATTAGCAATGACCCACGCATTTCAATTTTTTTTCTATAAACTAAGTGACATTCCTTAGCAGAAGATAGGTCTTGATAAATAAGGTCAATGACAATTTCATAACATTTTCGATGTTGTTACGTAAGTTTACAACAATGGCTTCAACTACCTCAAAAGAAAATATTCAAACTGCATTAAAAATGGTGACGGATAAGATGACTTGTTCTGCTGGTAAAAGAGTGGTAAGAATTTGTATAATCATTACAATAAATTAATTCTAGTATGGTACTGATAGTCTTGAAGACCTGATTCCCATCTTTTTTAACTCTAGATACCCTTTCCCCATGTTTATATTCTCCAGTCACTGATCATACAGAGATCTGGTACCCCCAGTGACACAGAGCTTGCTCATTCTAATATGCCATTTCATTTCAAGCTTAGTTAGTCCCCAAGGAAGCTATTGTCACCTTAGTATCGATTGGACAAGATATGATGCACAAGTCTCCACTATTTATTTTTATTCACTAAATTAGGCTTATTTTCTGTTTCAGAACCAGGCCCTGCCAAAACCTCGATTAGTTGCTGTCAGTAAAACGAAACCAATTCAAGATATTATAGCAGCTTATGAAGCTGGACAGAGAAACTTTGGAGAAAATTATGTGAGTTTAAGCACAATTTCTGCAGTGATTCAATATTTTTAAAGATTTTTCATTTTCTAAAATGAAAACTAAAATTCGATAATATTCTTGAAAAATGATTTGATAAGTCGATGTATTTAAAGCAAAGCAGCCTTGACTAACATAGTGGCTTTCTCACTCATTTATAATGAAAGACGATTACTAGTCTACATATTTGCCATGTCAACTTGTCAACAAAAATATGATGGGGAAAATGTTATCATATACAACAACTACCTTCATTATTAAAGAGTTCTGATCAAAAGGACCGAATAAACAACCTTATATTTTCACTTCAATGATATAACATTGATTTTTGTAGGTGATGGAATTGGTGGAAAAATCTCATGAAAAAGAGGTAATAGTGTAGATATTTTGAATGATTTGTGATAAGGGGTTATGAATAGAGAGAAAAATAGTTGTATTAGACTAACTCTTTTCCATGTATAGAGGGATTTTTAAAGGCATGGATGGTAATATCTCAACCCTTGATCTTCCAGCTACTTTACTGATAGAAAGTATGCATAAGCCTGTGTTGAAAGTTGAAGGGGTCAAATAGTTGATTAGTACACTATATTTAGTCTAGCATATCTAACAGTGTTTTACCATTTCACCCTTATTTTTTTAAATGGTAGATTCTGGAGAAATGTGAAGATATCAAATGGCATTTTATTGGTCACCTTCAAAGAAACAAAGTCAGTAAAGTATTAAGTAAGTTTGTTTATATTTCTATAAATATTTATGCTGACAACATTGTTGTATTTTTATATGTGAAATTTAAGTATTTTTGTTTGTGCAAATCTTGTTTACTTTGTAAGGAAAAATTAAGTATTTTTTTTATGCGAAAATTGTTTTTTGTAAGTGAAATATTTGTATGCGAAAGTATTTATGTTTCTGATATGGTATGACTTAGAATGTAAGGGATGTAGTGTAGATATATAACAGTAAGATATAGTTATTTCTTTCCTTTACTTTCAGTGGCTCCTAATCTATATATGGTAGAAACAGTGGAGTCAGAAAAATTAGCAGAGGCTATGGATAAAAGTTGGAGTAAAAATAAATTAGAGAGGAAACTAGATGTAATGGTACAGATTAACACTAGTGGTGAATCCAGTAGGTTTAGTATTTTCACTTTTCTTGGGATCTTTGTTTTTTATGTCTTACTTAGCAATTTTTCTGTTGGCAAGTTAGCATCGATGTTTTGGCTAAACAATCAGATGCAAGACAATAGAAAAGTATTCATTGCATATCCTTTCATTAACCTAGCAAAGTTCAAAAGAATTCCGTAGAATGCTCTCCTGTGCTGTTAGCTATGCACTCTGTATCTGTCAGTCTAGTGCTTCATAAAACTATATATTTCATTACAAAATGGTAAAAATCTAGGCCATACTATACCAATATAAGATTCTGAGTCTTTCATTCTGTTTCTGATAGATTATACAACCAAACCACACTGCTTATAATTCTCATCTTCTTTCTGCCTACTATATATTTTCCAGTATAGGCTCAAATATTTGAATATTTTAATTGTAGACAAACATGGCTGTGAACCAGAGAATGTGATAAAAATAGTAGAATTTGTCAGAGAGAAATGTTCAAATTTAAACTTTCGGGGTTTAATGACCATTGGTTCGTTTGATCATGATTTAACAAAGGGACCTAACCCTGATTTTCAGGTATGTTGATTCTATAAAATCAATATTAAAAGGGTTAAGTTTTCACTAAATTCCACTATCCATAACACATTCAAAAGGCAAATCTATTATAGATCTAAAAGAATGTGTATTTAATGAACATTAAAAAACTATGAAATTTTGGAAGTTATGTAAATATTGTAATATGTTTCCAGGCATAAACAGTATTTTGTAAAACATCTTTAACTCATAATGAATAAGGTTGAGTTTCAGTTGATCGTTACACTATGTAAGAGATAGCTGGTATTCAATGGTAGACTAATACTATTTTTTACAGAAATTATTAGAGTGTAGAGATTTAGTATGTAAAGAAACTGGTATACCTATAGAAGAATTAGAGATCAGTATGGGAATGAGTAATGATTATGAACATGCAGTAAGTAACATTACAATCTAATAATTTGTACTTAGTTTTTACAATTATTATTAATGAGACAATGCACAGTCTATAGCACAAGGGACCTTGGTTTATTGTCCCATCCGAATGACTAGACGCTTTTTCTATGTCAGCTCCTCTTACTTGCATCACTGAGAGCGGTATTACCTGTATCTCAACTGTCAGGATTGAACCCTGGAACTTCAGGTTAGCGAGCAGAGCAGAGAAAAAAAAACAACTTGTGGTCGTTTGGACTGGACAATAAAATGTGATATCCGCTTAACTTTAATGACAGTTTGAACCAATAAAAGTAGATCAATACAACTAAACAAAAGGTCCCTGATTGCACACTTTAGTGCCGCTATATACTAGCTAATTGTGGTCTGATTTTTATTAAAATAAATTATCTATTTCAGATAGAGTTAGGAAGTACCAATGTTAGAGTAGGAAGTACTATTTTTGGTGCCAGACATTATCCCAATAAAACGGTACCAAATGAAAGTATACATGCCAACGGTGATGTTAATGATATTCAGTCAAAAGTGGAGGGTCTGAAAGTTGAATAAGGATGATGATGAATAGACCAAACATTTTGCTCAGTTGCGAAATCTGGTCGATAGTGACATTATGATATGATATATTATTTTTGTACTGCAGAGAGGCACTATAGTTTCTTGAATGGTGGTTATGCATTGCCTAAATAGTGATACTCCATTACTTTTACAAGATATAAAGGCATTTGATTATTTATGGATTCAGTTTCCTATTTAACCATTTTGAAATGTCAGTTTGAATAGAACAATAGGTGTAAAGATTTGCACTGAATAACTTTGTTGAAAGAAAATCTAATGATCTGAAATACATTGTTATTTTGTTAATTGTAAATATATTGAAGAATTATAAATTTAATATGTTGAATAAGGCATTGATTATAACTTTGTGTGTGGCATTAGTTATGTTTGCACAGCACTCACTTTATTGAAAATCAATTGATTTGAACTTATTAAGGACATTAATGTAAATTCAATTGGACTTGTATTGTAAAAATGTAAGAATGATTATTTCAGAATGAGCAGTATAAAAAAAATTAGGTATTTAAGGCAGATAACGAACATACTTCTAGACAATATGCTGGTGAAGCCCATTGTTTATTTTTTGTTACATTGTAAAAAGAAGATTTTTGTATTAAAATCATTAATTTTACTTTTTTATTTTTCTTGTTTATTTAATACCTTAATACTTTATTACGTAAAATCTTTGACCCAATGCCCTGTCTAAATCTACTTATTGCATTGTGTCGTCCGTCTTTGTACCGTTTCAAGACTAAAATTTTTCCCCAAAAGGAATAATACACGAGTACATCAGTCACTGTAATTTATAATGAGTTATTTGTAGTCTGAAGTTGAATATAATTATTATATTCCTAGATATTACTTCCCCTTAGTCAATATCACGTGCCCGGAAGTTTATAAATTTCATCTTCACTGCTATCCAGACGTTTTCGTCCAATGCCTTTACAATGCACAAAAAGTCTGGATAATAATACTACGATTTCGGCCATTTTTATTATGATGAATAACAAGAAATAGATAGTGTTTCGAAATCTCAAATTTTAGGGCGTTGAACTGGTAGAATAATTCTGAAAATAGGAATATCGATAATTTCAAAGACCGCTCTCGATGTCTGGTCAAACTTTACAGGTTGGTACTTTTTGAAAATGGCAGTAAAATGAACGGAATGTCAGGTTTTTTGTTGTTTATCTTGTCCGGTTCCCGAAAAGTTGATTTGACATTTCGTCACAAGACTGTTCATAATCTCTGTTATGATTAATCTTAGAAATCTAAAACTGTTCTTAGTAGATACTTCATTTCAAAGGATTCTGAGATGTCCTAAAGTTACATCCAACTGGCAGATCTTCAGTCTGAATTCATTGACCAATCAATAAAGAGAGTTCCCAACTTAACAATGATCATTAGCAGATGACAACATCCCTTCTTTATGAATGGATGGGTAAGTACTGAAGCAGGAAGTATTGAGAGGCTTAAAACTGAAAAGCAATTGTATGTTTTCACAGTCATTTGTGGTATAACCAAGGTAATTCTGATCTTAATATATGATCTATAAGCTCTTGACATCAGATGGATTCTTTCAAAATACTACATCCTCTCAGAGTCTACATAAAGTCCTTGATTTTAAGAGTAGACTCGGTTGTTAGAGTAGTTAAGATACTACATATGGCTGAGTCTGGCTGACAGTGGCAATCTCCCGGGGGAAAATTGTCACTACCAAAAATATTAAGATATTTGATCGTAACTTGGACAAACTATGAATAGACAACCCCATGATATGACTGTAAAATGGAATATAACGTAACGATCGGAAGTAATCTACTTATCAACAGTGATACAGAACTAGAGCCAAATATAGATAAGCAAACTGATCTCCTGCGTTTGGATACACTTATTTAGACTTGGGTTTGTTGGTGGCACTTGCCCTGGTTCAGATGCTCTTCTTACTGTTTCATGGAAAAGGGTTCAAACTATATCCATGACATTCTACCATCTTGATCAAATAACTGGCATTAAAGTTGAGATAAGAAGGGTCAGCATCTTTTGAATTCTCCACGTCAAAAAGTATATCTTAAAAAGCTAAAATTATTAAACCTAAGTTAAGTCATACTGAAATAAATACTGTACCTAGATGTTCAGATGTTCAAACAAATGGTTCAAAAAATTCCAAAAAGGTGAGTCCAATCCAGAAAAGAATCTTGATGTTAAGTTCCTTCTTTGCCAGTGAAAATTATTTCTTCTTCATCTACAGAAGTGATCATTTGCTACTATTACACAATATTTGTACTGTATGCTTTCTCTGGAAAAATGATGATTTGTCAACTGCTAAAATGGATAAAAAAAGATTGGTATCTTATTCCTAGTCAATGAGGCCCTGATAATACACTACCTAAAAGATAAATATATTGGAAGTAAATAGCTGTGAATAGTCACCTTATCTATTTAGCAACTGAGTAAAAGTCTTGTAACAGATTGGTTATAAAACAGATAAGCACAATTGGAACTGGGTTTTCCCCTTTCTGGTTGTAAGAATCTATTTAAAGTAACTTTGACTCACTCTCATGGGTACTTATTGCTATGTTAACATCACATGATTTGTTACAATAATAATATTTTTATAATAGTCACAAGGAATATTTCGCTATTATTTGAAAATATTGACGCAAATTGTCAAAGCTGGGCTTAACTTAAGGTTGTGTCCTCTGACTGTGAAAATCTAAGTTTTAAATTTGTTCAAAATGCCTGAGCCTATTCAATTTGGACAGAGAATAAATGGAAGGGGAGCTTATTATTCTGGAGTAGCTTTGATGGTAAAAATCTTCTCTTTCAATGTCAATTCCTCAATTTATTATTTTTTTTAAATGATCCTCTATTTTTGTCCTCTTAGATAAGTTTTATTAATTTAAATGTTAGCAGTTTAAAAGTCAGAGTTTTGAAATTTTGAAAATATTAGAGCCTGATTTTCCCTGCAAAATTTCCCCCACTGCAAACTGCATGGTTTTGTCATCATTATCTCAATCAGTTGCAGAAAAATAGGAGGTGAAACTCCAATTCATTTCAGTTTTCTTTGATCCAGCTTCACCATTTTGAAAATGGTTCTCAGACAGACTATGAAGGACCAAGTGATATTGAACCCCAAGATATATATAATAAATTTTATTTTTTCAGAAAGCCATTGATTTGGTGACGAAGGCTACAGAAGAAGATAAAAACAAGAACTATGAAGAAGCTTTGAGACTTTACGAACATTCTGTGGAATATTTTCTTCATGCTATTAAATGTAAGTAAATTTTTGGAAAAATCTTTTGATCAAAATTCATAACAAGTATAAAAACTATGGATGGGGTAACTGGACATTTCCACTGTCATTATTTTCACCGTTGTTTATCATTTTGAAATATTTCTGTCTACAGATGAAGCACAAAGTGATAAGGCTAAGGAAAGTATCCGAGCTAAATGTGTCCAGTATCTAGATAGAGCTGAAAAATTAAAAGGTTTTCTGAAGAAAGATGGCAAGAAGAAGGTTTTAGATGGTGGTGGATCTGGTAGTAATAAGTAAGTTTATATATTTTCAATTTTTGACACGATCATTTGAAGAGCTTATGGAGCTATGATTATGAAGGTTCTTCAAAAAAAAATGCTTGCTGTCGATTAATACTGAGTTATAAATCAACAAAGGTTTGACAATTAGAATACTAAACCTTCTGACTTTGATTTTATTTGTAGAGATAAAAGTGAGTCATCTGATGAAGATTCTGATAAAGATCCAGAAAAAAAGAAATTTCAAAACCAACTCTCAGGTATGTTATGGATACTCTTATCACCTTAATCATGTTGGCCATACATCAAGGACCTGGCCATGTATTCTCGAAACGATCTTAGAAATAACGTTAGAATGTTAACACCCTAGGACATCCTAGTGCTGTAATCATTTTGAGAAGGCATGGTCGGATCATAAAAAAATATTTGATAGTAAATGTTCAAGAATTTTAATTGACCAATATTTAATAGAATATACAACATTTTCTGTATATTTTTCAGGAGCTATTGTAATAGAGAAACCCAATGTAAGCTGGGAAGATGTAGCAGGATTAGAAGGAGCTAAAGAAGCTCTAAAAGAGGCTGTTATTTTACCTGTCAAATTTCCTCATCTTTTCACAGGTAATAAAGAAAATATCCTCTTTCTATATGCTTACTACAGGAATCAAAATAATGCTATTAATATAATATAATATAATTAATAATAGCTATTTGATTGAATTGCTAATGAAATGATGACAAAAATATGCCAAAATGATGAATCTTTGAACATTGTCTGTATTTTTTGTTAAAGAATACATTATTTATTTTATTATCAGGAAAACGAAAGCCATGGAGAGGAATCCTGTTATTTGGTGTAAGTTTTAATTCTTTACAATCATGACCTTTTATTTACCTATCTATCTGACTATTGAACTATTCCTAGCCAGACGTGACTGGCAAATATAACCAGATTATGAATCAAAGACCAGTTTCTCTAAACTTTTATCAACTTAGATATTTTGGTAATCCAATATGTCACTAAAATGGATTATTAAAAATTAGAAAATTAAATGTTTTTAGATCAGTATTTGAGAGCACAAATATACCGACTGAATCTTTTTTTGAAATAATTACTCCAAAGATAAATTTGTTTATAAATTTGTGTTTGTATTTTTAGCCCCCTGGAACTGGTAAATCATATCTAGCAAAAGCTGTAGCTACTGAAGCGAACAATTCTACATTTTTCTCTGTATCTTCATCTGATTTAGTTTCAAAATGGCTGGGAGAATCAGAAAAGTAAGTAAAATATTAGATTTGATTGTCAGTGAGTTAGGTCGGAGGGGCTGACTTGGAAAAAGAGTTTTTCTTTAAATGAGACCAAAACTGGTGTCTGCTCTTGGCTGTGCGTGTTAAGATCTCTTGATAGTAAGAAGCATAGCCTTATGCCAACAGTCCTGGCCATATTTCCCTCATTTCACACTGCTGTATGGCTTCATTAGTTTTTCCCTTTTTATATTACAGATTAATCAAAAAAACCTCATCTGATGAATTGATTTATTTATTCATTCTTCTGTCAATTTAATTTTAGCTAAAAGTTTCGTTTCTTTATTCATTCATTCATTCATTCTATTTCCTCTATTCCAGATTAGTAAAAACGCTATTTGACCTAGCAAGAGAACAGAAACCAAGTATAATATTTATTGATGAGGTAGATGCTTTATGTGGTTCACGTAGCGAGAATGAATCAGAGTCTGCTCGTAGAATAAAAACAGAATTTCTAGTACAGATGCAAGGTGTCGGTAATGATAATGATGGTGTACTTGTTTTAGCTGCTACCAATATACCTTGGACATTGGATTCAGCTATCAGAAGAAGGTAGGTAGAAGCAAAAAATACAAAAAGAAGAAAGCATCTAGTCGTTTAGATGGGACAGTAAACTGAGGCCCTGTGTGCCACAGTCTGTGCGCGTTAAAGAACCCTCGAGAGTAGGCTAATGCTGCTGTCCTGGCAAAATTTCCCTCATTGCACCTTGCATCGCATTGTCTGTTTTCATTAGCCAAATTAGAATCAGAAGAGTAGCAAGTAAAACTCCATTCATTTCAATTTTTTTTTTTTAAGAAAGTTAGGGTTATTACTAATATGACATTTGATATTTTTTTGTAAAATCTTCTATATATTTTGTAGGTTTGAAAAGAGAATTTATATACCTCTACCTGAAGCTAATGCTAGGACTTCCATGTTTAAATTACATATGGGAACTACAGCTAACTGTATCAGTGAGGAAGAATACAGACAACTTGGTATAAGAACTGACGGGTAAGATTTTCATCTCCAATTCTCAGAATATTGGTCAAGTTGATACCTGCAGATGTTTCAGTCACGGTCCTAGGTTGTGATTCTTGAACAGTTGAGAATCAAATTGAAAGAAGGAAAAATTTCCTTGATGCTTACTGTATGGTATTGTCCATTTAAAGTAATTGTGGCAGAAAAGAACAAACATTTTATTCCATTCAGAACATTTTCAATGTGGACTCTCTGAAAAAAATGACCATTCACAAACCCAAATACCAATATTAAATGTATATGGACTCTCTAGAAGATATACAACTGATTAACTTAGTAAAAGAGTAATGTATGTATCTTATCATGCTATATTTACAGTTATTCTGGAGCTGATATAAGTATTGTAGTCAGAGATGCTTTAATGCAGCCAGTGCGTAAAGTTCAAACTGCAACACATTTTAGAAGGGTAAGTACTTCCATTCTGTCAGGGTATTCTGGTGATCAGAAAATTTTTGAATTTTTCACCAGAGATTCCTCAATCATTATTGACAGTCTCCCATTTTGCAATTAATTACGGATGGTCAAAGGCGCTAATATTGAAGACTATGAGCTAGGCTGGTTGATGAAGAATTTTAAATATAATGTAATAATACTGAATATTTCCAGGTTCGTGGACCCTCTAGAGATGATCCCAATAGATTAGTAGATGACCTTTTGACCCCATGTTCTCCTGGAGCACCTGGTGCTATTGAGATGAGCTGGATACAAGTCGATGGTGAAAAATTATTAGAACCTATAGTTTCTATGGTAAGCCACTAAAGATCTGAACCTGAAGTCTAAAATAAGAGTAGGGCAATACATTGGAAGCTCTAATGAAATATTCTTATCAGGAAGTATATCAATCATAAGTGAGGAAGTATTTGATAATGAAAAGTCATATCAGATGTCTAGAAGAGCAAGCATACCCTGCCTAGCTCTACTTAAATTTTAACTTCACAAATGAAAAATTGAAGTTTAAATTGATAGAATAGATATGGTTATGTCACGAAAGCACAGGCTTTGGCAACAAAAATTTGAAACTGAACTAGATGACCTGTAAACTAATAAAAATTTTAGAATAATTCAGAATGTTTTTTGATTTATTTTTCAGAGTGATATGATGATGTCCTTGTCTACGTCTAAACCCACAGTCAATGAGGATGATTTACATAAACTGAAAAAATTTACCGAAGATTTCGGCCAAGAGGGATAAAATATATTCATTTTTAAACTGTGTTATTTATATTATTACTTGTAAATTTTACTTCATGGAGATATTGTGATCAAAGGGTAGCCATCTTAAATGACGTCTGCAACTTTGAGAGATCAAGATTGTTGTAAAAAATAGATCACAAAAATTAGTCTGGGTTCTTGTCCAGTTGGAGCTGTTTAGAATTTGACATTTTTTTCATGTTTTATAAGTACTGGGTTTAGATCATTTACACCACGATAAAAAAAAAACCTATCTATGTGAATCTATGACATGATAATTAATTTTGGATATATTTAAGAAAAAATTAAGATGCATTTTGTGATACAGAAATTTGTTGGACATGACAGTTGATTTGATCGTATTCGATTGTCTACCTGATTTTGATTTTCAATTGTCAAGGGATCTTTAAAATGCACAGTCTGTACTACTCCTGCAAACAGATGCAGAAGTTGATAAGGTGCTCATTAATGTCATCATTTAACATAAGCCTACACTTTTTTGATTCCTAACTTGCAGCTTACAGAAACCCTTGATGCAGTAATTCACAGTTACAGTGCTCATTAATGTCGTCATATTGACTTGAAAATGATGATGATGATAATGATAATGATGTATTAATGATATTGTAAATATTTGTTTGTGATTGATTATTTAAATGTTAATTTGTTAATTAATGAAGGTGTGTTATTTTTAGATAACTGCTGTAGAACTGGAGTGACAACTGATTTTGATTTTAGATTTTTTTGACTGATTCAGACTGACTGTGACACTTGTGGAGCCACCCACTGAGAAAAATAGAAACAAATTATTCAGATTTGCATTTTAATCACAGTACTTATAGTAATTTATGTTGTTTGGTAGTTAAAAGTCACTATTTTTTTCAAAGTTTATCTTGGTCATTAGACTAAATAAAGTCACATAGAGATGAAATATGAAGAGGTGTATAAGATGTATTATAGAATTCTATAAATAAATGATTAATTATTGATAATTGGAACATGGTCAACTATATTAATACACATCCTGCTTGCTTTCAAACACGAAGTAACAACAGTTAACTTAGTTTCAAGATGAAATAAGTGAAAAATATTCCTTATGGTGTGATATTCTTTCGACAGATTGTTTAGGAAATCTCTTTACAATTCTAAAGTAGGAAAAAAGTGTAAATGGCATAGATGAGCTCTTGTCAATTTGGTTTAGCAGACCGTATCTACCAGCTGGTCAACGATTTAATAACTTGGCATTGATATTTCATCATCCATAAGTATTTACCCTTATGTGGACTAAATAGGTACTTTGACTTGGTTTTCTCTTGTGTAATTGCAAGGCCTTACCTATTTACTATTGGTTGAACTTGGTAGAATATAAACAGGTGCTTGTTTTCTGTCAGTGTATTTACAGGGCCAGGATGTGTATAAATAGAATTGTTTCACTATACCATTTTGTATCATACATTCAAGTTGTAAATAAACCATATTACTGTCTCCTTGTGTCTTCTTATCAGCCCCTAATTGGGATTTTGGGGCCACCATGGCTCAGTGAGTTAACACTTACTAACTTACCTGAAGGTCCAGGTTTAAATCATGCAGGGGTTTGAAATATTCCATTATAGTTTTTAACCCAGGTTAGCTTTTGTCAATGCAGAACACCATCAGCCTCTACATGTGAGGTTTGGACCTCTCTTGCTTCCACAGTGCTACTCGGTTATCACCCCTTGTCTGTCCCTCCCCAGGTCTAGCCCCTATTTGTACCCACTATTACAGGAGGCAGTGACCATTATATGCTCAGAGCTTACCACCACATGTGACATCTTTTAAACTATTGAAAATAATTGAAATGGATAGCCTATTAATATTTATGGATTATTAATTATACAGATTACATCAGGTCAAAAGTTCAAATTATCTTCATTAAGGTGGGTCTGTAAGATTTAAGGGATATACTCTACCGACTATTTTTGAACATCAGGGAGGCCTTCAAACACCAAATAATGCATTGTTAGATGTAATTTGGAGGGTGTTTGATACAAAAGATTTTTAGAGGCCTGTGATATAATTAAAGGAAATATCCATTGTATAGAAGAGAAGAACTATTTTAGCAGTTCTAACCCTTTCGGCGAGAGCATCCCTTTAATTTTCTTGCGTTGGTGGGATTCCCCAGTTACTAAAAATAGACCAGAAATATACCTGACCTTGACCTCACCTTAGTTAATCATAAACAAGACAAAGTACGCCGAGGACTCACAGGTTTCGTGAAACTAATTAATTTCAGCTGTGATATTAATTATAAAAACCACCAGGCATCATGTTTCAAATCACCGAGCACAGATTGGCAGGATTTTCCAAACAATTGGGACCATTTTTGAGGAAGAAAACCAAAATTTCCAAGATGTCAGTGCGAACGAAAGTGTTGTCTGTGGAAAACATGAATCCTCACATCAAGAAAATGGAATATGCAGTTCGTGGTCCGATTGTTATTCGAGCAGGGGAAATAGAAGCAGAATTGCAAAAGGTTTGTGTGCTATTTTCTAATGGATTTTGGGGGTTTTAGCATATGGCTTGTGGGTCCTTTTGCCATGGCAAAACATCTTAATTTTTGATATTTCGTCATCATGGCAAAGCATGCCAAAGGGAAAGGCAAAGGTCAGAAAAGGATGATGGCATATTCTCATCCCCTTTTTGATCTTATTTCACATAATGAACCATGGACATAGCATTTTCTTTCTGAGAGATGCATTAAGATAGCCATGAGCCCATAATTATTTTGTAGTGTAGCTTGGAATAGCTAAGCTATTGTCTATTATTTAAGCTTTAAGAAAATTTGATGTGGGGTGGCTATAGAGCAATGTTTTAACAGTAAAATATTTGATTATTGTCAGCTATAAACAATATATAGGCTATTATTTGACAACCATAAATAGTAAAGTTCAATTTCTATGGTACAAAGTCTATGTGCAATAATAATACATTGTACCTAACTTGTTATCTTATTTAGATCCATGTAGTAAATTTTAAAGGTACCGTCCATGAAACCTTCAGTGTATCAGTCTAATACCATTATATTGTTAAAAAGGTGTGGAAGATTAAGATGATAAAATATGTCGCTTAAATGATTGATCACCTTAAGTAGAGAAGTAAAAGTGCCGGCTTGGCTGACGATTTTTGTCGTCGACTAGAGTCTGATTAAGACTTTCACTGACAGGCGTGGGCACACGAGGAGACAAAAATATCCAAACTGTTTAAGCACAGACACACATAAGATTTTACTCAAGATTAATTGTATTTGCAGGGAGAGAAGAAACCATTCCCTGATGTTATTCGAGCCAATATCGGAGATTGTCATGCTACAGGTCAACAACCTTTGACCTTTATTAGACAGGTACGTTGCTAGAGTTTTTTTGACAGTTGGTAATTGAAAACGAGTTGGTTTATGTTGCTATCCTGCAGTATTTTTCTTTATTGCTCAATGCTACAGGCTGTGAACTTCAAAGACCCCTTGACAGTTGGTATTTGAAAAAAGTAGACTTTTGCCTCAGGCCCCGAAAAATTTTCCTCATTATACACTGCATGGTTTTGCTTACTCCATTCTCTTGAATAGGTGCAGAAAAGTAGTATGTAAAACTTACTTTTATTTCATTTACTACAGGTGTCAGCAATATGTGCTTATCCAGAGCTCTTGAAAGATCCTAATTTCCCACGAGATGCTAAAGAGAGAGCACGTAGAATCCTAGATGGCTGTGGTGGACATAGTATAGGTTTGTTCTGTCCACTTTTCTACCATGGTTCACTGTAGCAATTAAACATATATTATAGAACGATAGGTTATTGTTCACAGCCTCATGCAAAGCTATTTGGTTAAAGTGAACATCAGTCCATTGAAATTTGAATCTGTTGGACATTCAAAAAATCTTATTGTAGGTCATTTTAAAGCTTAATATCAGCAATTGTTTCAATTTGAAGTTTTTTAGGGAAATTTATGTTTTGCTTGCCAGACCTGGTTGATTCCAAAAAGCTGCCACTACACATTTCATTTGGAGGGTTCTCTTTCTTCAATTTCTGTAATTTATAAGTGAGAAAATAGTGGATACTAAGCTATGCTATACTAAGCTATGCTATACTAAGCTATGCTATACTAAGCTATGCTATACTAAGCTATGCTATGCTATATTTAGGTTCATACAGTGATAGCTCTGGAGTAAAAGTTATACGAGAAGATACAGCTAAATATATCACTGATCGAGATGGACATCCTAGCAACTGGGAAGACATCTTTCTTTCTACTGGTGCTAGTGATGGTATCAAGGTAGGCTAAATATCATCTTATTTCATTTCAATCTTGGGGATTTCATTTTAATCTTGGGGATTTCATTTCAATCTTGGGGATTTCATTTCATCTTGGGGATTTCATTTCATTTCAATCTTGGGGATTTCATTTAAATCTTGTGGATTTCATTTTAATCTTGGGGATTTCATTTCAATCTTGGGGATTTTATTTCAATCTTGGGGATTTCATTTTAATCTTGGGGATTTCATTTCAAACTTGGGGAATTTATTTCAATCTTGGGGATTTCATTTCAAACTTGGAGACTTCATTTCAATCTTGGGGATTTCATTTCAATCTTGGGGATTTTATTTCAATCTTGGGGATTTCATTTTAATCTTGGGGATTTCATTTCAAACTTGGGGATTTCATTTCAATCTTGGGGATTTCATTTTAATCTTGGGGATTTCATTTCAAACTTGGGGATTTCATTTCAATCTTGGGGATTTCATTTTAATCTTGGGGATTTCATTTCAATCTTGGGGATTTCATTTCAAACTTGGGGATTTTATTTCAATCTTGGGGATTTCATTTTAATCTTGGGGATTTCATTTCAATCTTGGGGATTTCATTTCAATCTTGGGGATTTCATTTCAATCTTGGGGATTTCATTTTAATCTTGGGGATTTCATTTCAATCTTGGGGATTTTATTTCAATCTTGGGGATTTCATTTTAATCTTGGGGATTTCATTTCAAACTTGGGGATTTCATTTCAATCTTGGGGATTTCATTTCAAACTTGGGGATTTCATTTCAATCTTGGGGATTTCATTTCAATCTTGGGGATTTTATTTCAATCTTGGGGATTTCATTTCAAACTTGGGGAATTTATTTCAATCTTGGGGATTTCATTTCAATTTTGGGGATTTCATTTCAATCTTGGGGATTTCATTTCAATCTTGGGGATTTCATTTTAATCTTGGGGATTTCATTTTAATCTTGGGGATTTTATTTCAATCTTGGGGATTTCATTTCAATCTTGGGGATTTCATTTCAAACTTGGGGATTTCATTTCAATCTTGGGGATTTCATTTCAAACTTGGGGATTTCATTTCAATCTTGGGGATTTCATTTCAATCTTGGGGATTTTATTTCAATCTTGGGGATTTCATTTTAATCTTGGGGATTTCATTTCAAACTTGGGGATTTCATTTCAATCTTGGGGATTTCATTTTAATCTTGGGGATTTCATTTTAATCTTGGTGATTTCATTTCAATCTTGGGGATTTCATTTCAATCTTGGGAATATTATTTCAATCTTGGGGATTTCATTTCAAACTTGGGGATTTCATTTCAATCTTGGGGATTTCATTTCAATCTTGGGGATTTCATTCTCAATTTTTTTTTTGTCTGAATGAAGAAGCTGATCGAACAATTAAAATGAGGCAAAAGGAATTGACGCACATGAATGAGCATGCTAATAAAATAATCATCATCAATATTAAGGAGCAGGGGGTCTTATTCTCGATATATTTTATTTTGACGGAGATTCTCCAGATTTCTCAATGGGTGCTCATTATACATGCTTATGTACTCTGTTCACAATTACATAGTATGCTTATAGAATGCTATAGTTTGAAATTGTAATCTTGAATTGGAAGATTTACTGTTGTATATTTAGACTATAATGAAGTTATTGATGACTGGTGAAACAGGAAAGGGTCGAGCTGGGGTCATGATACCCATACCTCAATATCCCCTGTATACTGCTACTATAGCTGAATATAACGCTCATCCAGTAAGTCTTTTATCTTACCTCATTCCACACTGCATGGTGTTGTCTGTGTTTATTCACTAATTTTGAAGCAGAAAAGAAGGCAGTTGAAACTATCTTTCTGTGAATTCTTTTCATTAATTCTAGTAGCGCTATTGAATTAACTGTAGAATGTATCTGGTTCAACGATAAAAAAATATACCCATTTACAGTTGACTCCACTGGAATAAAGATAAAAGCGTGTTCAATGACACCATGATTTTTTATGCCAATTGAGATTAGAACTCATTAGCACCACTTTTTCAATATTTCAAGCACCCTTACATAGCTGAAATAATTTGACATTTGCATCATACTTGTTAGAATAACACTAATGTTTTAAAAGCTAGCCCTACTCTAATCTATTTGTAGATTGGATATTTTCTGAATGAAGACCGTAACTGGGCCCTGGACGTCAGTGAATTAAAGAGGGCACTGGAAGAGGCTAAGCCACATTGTAGACCTAAAGCTATAGTTATTATCAACCCTGGAAATCCAACTGGTACGACTTCTTTAAGTCTGATTAACCCTTTTGGTCTTTTAACCCTTTTATACGCAAAATTACATGAAATATATCACTATCACTATATCACATGACATTATCATCAAACGCTCTCTGTAATAGTACTTGGTGTTCAGGGTATATCCAAAATGGTGGGCATGCCCAGGAAATTATGAGACACTACCACAATAATTGTATTAAGCTGAAATAATGAAGTTTTGGAATGATTGTGAATTTTAGGTCAAGTATTAACCAAAGAGAATATCGAAGCTGTGATAAAGTTTGCCAAAGAAGAGAATTTATTTTTGATGGCTGATGAGGTAGGTACAATGGGTGATTTTATTCAGGTGTATATTTTCCGAAGATGAGAGACTGTCTAACATAGGAGTACTGATGACACTGGGGTACTAGTGGCTGCCCCCTCTGCCCCCCCTTTCGCTCAGCCACTGTGACCCACCTCTTGCCTGTTGTATTGTGCATCTATAATTCTGGAACATGAGGTGTGGACTTGTACACAATTATTTTGCTCTACTTATTTCTATCTGATATTCTAGGTATATCAACACAATATTTATGCTCAAGGATCCAAGTTTTATTCCTTTAAAAAAGTTTTAACTGAGATGGGGTCAAAGTACAATGACCTTGAACTGGCTTCCTTCATGTCAACTTCTAAAGGTTACATGGGAGAGTAAGTATAGTATTTTATGTTTTGGAATTAACAATTTCCATGCTAACCTGAAGGTGAAGGGTTCAAACCCAGCCTATGTCGAGATAATACCTTCGGATTTATCAACTTGTTTTCCCCCTGTCAGTGATAATTTTTAGAATATTCTTGTAAGCTGCACTGATTCTCTGAGCTAGACTTTTTGTTTGCTTACCTGAAGGTCCAGGGTCCTTTCCTGGCATAGTTGGAGATTGTACCTTGAGTTTTTGATCTGTTTTCTCCCTCTCGCTAGTGCAAGAACATGAAAAGAGCATTGCTTGAGTTGGGCAGTTAAACAAGGCCCAGTGCTATAGGATGTGCACAAAAAACCCACAATAGTAGACTGCTGTCTGTCCTGACACGATCGTTAAGAAGTAGACACTATCCATTGTGAAGCTCATGTTTTTCTATTTATAGATGTGGATTCCGAGGTGGATATTGTGAGGTCATCAACCTTGACCCTGATGTCAAGGCCATGTTATTAAAATCAATTTCTGCTAAATTATGTTCTTCCATAGCTGGGCAGGTAAGTTTTCTCTCATGACATTGAAAAACAAATGGAGAAAGTGGTCATTCAAAAGCTAGGACCATTTTATTGAGGTATGGCTGTATGGTAATGGGCTCTATTGGTCAGCGCGTAAAATTCTGGTGACCATTAGTCCAGTCAACCCAGCTGTAAATGAGTACGGATAATCTGGGACAGATCAATGCCAAGAGGTTTGGCAAAGAACCAGCTGGTAGAAAGGATCCTCGTTAACCTAAGTTATTATCCTTGTTATGTTAACAAATGGTTGAATTTTTATGGTATTATTTTCCAGGCAGTAATGGATGTTGTAGTCAATCCACCTAAACAAGGAGAGCCTTCGTATGATCTTTTTGAAAAGGTAGGAATATCAAGTCTTCATTATGATTGTACAGGTATCCAAATAGCTGAGCCACCCAAATAGCTGAAACTTCCACCTCAAGGTGCCCTCACTCCATAGCGATTAATGGTTTGCGATTAAGTGGTCAAAGAGTTCCAATTGCAACCCACAACTCAGTTGCAGGAGAGTTGTGATGAAAATTACCACTGCTATTCATCATCGCAACCATAGGCAACTGGTGATCACTATGGTGTGAGTGCACCTTTAAAGATAACTCTCACAGACTAATAATACATTTAGAGGTCATATCAATGAAGGTCACTGACAGTAATTTGATCCATTGTGGTTCATCTTGCAGGAGAAATGGATGGTATTAGGTCAGTTAGCAGAGAAAGCTAAAATGGTGACAGAAACATTTAATACTATAGAAGGAATATCTTGTAATGAAGTCCAAGGAGCCATGTATGCATTCCCTCAAATTAAACTTCCCAAAAAACTTCTTGAAGCTGCCAAGGTATGTTCAGTTTTTTGTGGTCCTAAACTGGTGTAGCATTCCATCTAAGTGTAGCAATAAGTGAACACGACACAGGTCCAGTTTACAGTCAAAGTGGTCTTCTACTGGTCAGTCATGGCATCTAATGCTCCTCCCCAAAATAGTCCAGGTTGTTGTGGTCCTAAACTGGTCCGTCATTTCAATTTTGCAGGCTGTAATGCAGTCAGAAATGACGTCAATTGGTTGATGGTGGTTGTGGGTTCTAATCGTGTAAAATAAATTTTAAAGTATAGTACAGCCAACTAAAGCGATTGAAAAGATTGACCAATCAGATGACTGGAACACTCTTAAAATCTTAAGTTTTTGAGAATAAGCCTAGAAGGACTTAAACTTTTGAGCACGATGCTAAGCGGCTAATTTTTTAATTTTCAGGCTAAAGGTCAGTCCCCGGATGCATTCTACTGTTTTAATCTACTAGAAGAAACTGGTATTTGTGTGGTACCTGGTAGTGGATTTGGTCAGGTTGAGGGCACATACCATTTTAGGTAACATTTCATATTTAAACTTAGCATTATCACATTATTGTGGAATTATCACATTGCTCTGGAATTATCACATTGCTCTGGCATTACCACATTGCTCCGGCATTATCACATTGCTCTGGCATTACCACATTGCTCCGGCATTATCACATTGCTCTGGCATTATCGCATTGCTCTGGCATTATCACATTGCTGTGGCATTATCACATTGCTCTGGCATTATCACATTTCTGGCATTATCACATTGCTCTGGCATTACCACATTGCTCTGGCATTATCACACAGCAAACATGTGAAGCTACTTTGCTCACAGCACCAGGCATTATCACATTGCTCTGGCATTATCACATTGCTTTGGCATTACCACATTGCTCTGGCATTATCACACAGCAAACATGTGAAGCTACTTTGCTCACAGCACCAGGCATTATCACATTGCTCTGGTATTATCGCATTGCTCTGGCATTATCACATTGCTCTGGCATTACCACATTGCTCTGGCATTATCACACAGCAAACATGTGAAGCTACTTTGCTCACAGCACCAGGCATTATCACATTGCTCTGGCATTATCACATTGCTTTGGCATTATCGCATTGCTCTGGCATTACCACATTGCTCTGGCATTATCACACAGCAAACATGTGAAGCTACTTTGCTCACAGCACCAGGCATTGAAGAACTCAGTAATAGATAATTTAATACTAGGTAGGGGGAGGGAGGTGCAAAGTCTGTCCATGGTCCCCCTGTTGAACGTAACGTCAATGCAAACTCTTCACAACATTATATTTTATTGAACACAAGGCAGATCATGTAACTGTCTTTTTCTTTATTTCAGAACAACTATATTACCTCCAGTTCAGAAACTAGGAGAAATGTTGGCCAGATTCCGAGATTTTCACCTTCAGTTTATGGAGAAATACCAGTGAAAAGAGTGAGAGAGACTTGTACAGACTGTTACAGTGTATAATAATGATATACATGGTATGATATAAAGGACACAGTGGTGTTTCTATCATGGGGTGGGGGTTACTAGGCCTTAGGGCCCACAGAAATTACTAAAGGGGGCTCACGGTCACGAATTTCCCTTTTCTGCGAGGGCCATTGAAGCACACTGTAAAATAACACTACATAAATTTTGTTAAAAGAAATGTGTTAAGTTATAAAGCTTTATAAAAGCGAACAGGTAGAAAATTATTATAAAGCGCTATAACAACACTGCTTAGTTTAAATCCTGTATAATTATTAGTTGGTTATGTTAGTTGATAGATGTTGAAAGCCAACTCTCTGAAGCACAGGCTATGGCATCAATTTCTCTTACCTTATTAGTATTATATGTTATATTCATGTCTCACAAAGTCTGTTATTGTTAAATGCTATAATAAGAATTCATCGTTTAAATAATGAATATTTATTAATGAATTATATTAAAGGGACAAGTGTATCATTTTGGGGGATTGTATCTATCTAAAAAATTCCTGTTTCTGAGACCAAAGTATGATTGGTCAAACAAATGGTGCATCCGTCCTTTTAAGTATTAATATTATATATTGTTGTCATAAGTATCTAATATGAAGAATTATAATTAAATTGGAATCTCAAACATATCAGCTGAAAGGTTAAAGTTAATGTAGCATGCCCTATTTAATCAGTATTATAATATTCTGTCCTTGATTGCTCCATCAGCTTAGCCTCTATCATCCAGTCAGACTTTGTCTACATACAGCTTTGTCATAAACAGGGTTAGTCTGGGTGTCAGAGACTCTACCAGCTGTGCTGTTATACAAATTTATGGTTTTTCTCAGCTAGCAGATTAAAATGCAGATCAAGATGTTTTTGATAGTTTGAGAATTACAGCTGCCATCTACGATCTGACAAAATTCCTTTTTGAATTGTCTTTAAATTGTATCCAATCGAATTTGATCACAGTGACAACATTGGCATAATTTATACAAACCAACCCACAAGAAACACTGTTAAATTTGGGCTGACGATACAAATTGGATATAGCTATGAATATACCAAAATTCAGCAAATTTGGCCATACTAATTTGAGTGGTTGAATATTATGAACTAGAACATGTGTTTCTTAACAAGTTTGTATTTCATCATGGATCAAGTGGAGGTCACCATAGACAACCAATGATAATATAAATTTGCATCTATTCCGATTGCTTATCAAAGTTCAAAAAATGAGATGTATTTAGTTTTTATTTTGCTGTAAATGTAGCTTGTGAAAAACACAAAAAAATATAAATGTTTTTATTTTTTGTATTGGATCTTTAACTACCTTTATGTATAAGGTACTTGTATTTACTACAAACATCACTGATATTAGGTTTGATGATATTTTTGGCTGGGAAGGTATAGCACAAACTTCTGTGTCAGGATGGCAAAATTATCCTAATATGTTGAAGAATCTTCATCATGCTCAGCCTGATTCATTGATCTGCACTAATAACTGGATTAAAAGTAAAGTCAGACCCCCAAGTTAGCAAGTAAGTCGGAACTCTCAGTGTCACTCCACTTCCAGCTGATTCAGCATATATAAACAAACAAGTTTTAAAAGAAATAGTTTTTTCTTTAAAAAAAATATACAAAAAAATAAAATGGATGAAATGAGCTTCTTGGCACTGATAGTTTAAAACAAAATTAAACAAAAATAAAACAAAATATAATATACTAAAATCAACAACAAATACAAATCACTGAAAATAAATTGAAACTAAATATTTGCTTCCAGAGATTCATTCAACTTTTCAGAATTCAAATATGACAACCTGTTCTCGTACAATTTAAATTTATTAAAAGAGCTTCTTTTATTTGAATGGATTATAAAAGCGGCAATTTTTGAGATGGAGAACTCATGAAATAACAAAACAAAAACTCAAACACTACTTAGTGTATAAACCAAATAAAACAAACATATCTTAAATAAAACAATATATTTATCAACTTACGCAGAAAAACAAGCACCTTGCCTCAAAAATTGTCAAAAAAAAACTTGTAAAGAATTTTTGAAAATGGTTTTAAGCAGGATGATTAAAATATAAAATGCCAATTTTTTTTCTTTTATGGTTATGTTTTCAATAATAATGTTTTGTAGGAAAAGTTTCTAATGAGACTTAACTAACAGCTATGAAATATGGTATCTTGATGATCATTTATCCAAAAAATGAAACAAAATAGAGTTTGAATAAATCTAACTGAAGCATGTTGTATTCCCTGATTATCATAAAACAAAACTATAAAACCAGAAAACAGATAAAAATCTCATAAAACATACAAAAAATAACAAAAATATAACTGAATTTTAAAATGGGCACAGTTTTAATAATTTGTGGTAGAAGGAAAAGTGGTATCGAACTCCTGTACTGAATGTTGTTTTCGTTTCCCACAGGACATCAGTGGAGAAAACTTCACTTGTAGTTGAATGTAACAGAGCAAAAATTGAAATAAAGTTTGTCAAATCAAAATGCTCAAACAGGTTTTAAAGAATATACCACATATTCCAACAGATATAAGGGAATATACTACATATTATTTGTGAAAATGGGCCCATTCCAAAAAGCAGCAAAATAGCACTATTATTGATACCAAATAATGTCAATGTTGAGCAAAAAATGGACGGTTGAATCAGCTAGTTGTAACAGTGTACAAAAACTGCTCTTTAATATATATGAATTGATTACTTCCTTTTAAAAGTTAACATGAAATTTAAATTTTCAAACTTGGCCAATAAATCCATATAAGTAAAACTTATTTCAATTCTTTATTTAGTTCAATGTATTTATCGTCATTCTGTTGTATAGTTACGACACCTGGTAAGTCAGTATGTCCACTGATGAATATATAGAATTATTGCCCGTGTTTGAAAATTTAAATTCTATTTTCTTCGTAAGAGGAATCATGAACTTTTCCTGAGAACTTATGTGGTTCGGTATTTTGGCTGTTTTCAATGGAGCCACGATATTTTTCATGAAAATCGCTTCGAAGTTTTTCACAAGGGGAGGTAAGCATGTCCAAAGCTAACAGTTCAGGTTCTATAGATTGTACAGAGGCATTGACTGATGAATTAAAAGTTCTGTTTGCTGACTGAGGTGTCTTTTCTTGAGTAGATACATCTGATGAACCAGTACCAAAATGTTTCTTTGAGGGAGGGGTTATCAATACAGAGGCTAAACATGGAAATATTTCCGATATGCTTTGGGATAAGGAATGATCTAGAGAAGCTTTTATGGAATTAGAGTCTTGATTTGGAATTTCAGTTTTGTCTGAATACATCTCAATGTCATCTTTATCATCAAAAATATTGTCATTCAATTCAATACTGACTGTATCAGTGTCAGAATTAGTTGATAAAGCATCATTGTTTGAAAGATCCTGAGACTGACAAAGTTTTAAACTTGCAAAATAAGCCTGTCTTTCACTTGCTTCACCATCAGTCATATTTTTGTCTTTGCTGAGGTTCTGAACAGACGTATTTTTGTTGACAATGTCTTGTGTTTCATCAATTAGTTTCGTGTTCAAAGACTCCTTACAGCAACTATTTTCTGCAATTTCTAAACCACTGTCAGCATGAGTTCCATCCAAATTCTCATGAGTTCCATCCAAATTCTCATCATGACAAGATGAAATGATGCCAGAAGCTTCAGGAGTGCTTCTATCCAATGAGTTAACAGGTGCGGCACTTTCTTCCCTGAGATTTTCAATGAAATCAGAAGCTGTGATATGTTTAGTTTCTTTGGCGCCCGGTGTTTCAATGTCTTTGACTGGAGACGGAGTTGCAGGTATTGTGTCAGTGTTTAAGTTGCGAGATCTTTCAACTTTATCATGTGCAATAGCACTGGAAGAATTATCATCCATAGACGACTCTGCTTCAGCCATTTTCAAATCAGTTTCAGAAATATCCAGCAATGATTTCATAGGCAATTTAGTACTGGATAATGGTTCTTCAGGTAGAACAGCATTGAGAAGTGATGTTAAAGAAAAGTCTGGATCATCAAGAGCACTGATATTGTTTATCAAAGTGTCATTGTGGTCTTCCAGACCTTCATCAATGTCTTCTGCAGCTAGAGTTACTTCTCCTGCATTCTCTTCAGCTTCTGTGAGACCTTCCATTGCTGGATCTGCTACAGTTTTGGTTGCCTCTTCAGATCTTTTTTCTACAGCTTGAGAAGCAATATTGTTAACCAAATTCAAATCATCTGCATTTTGAAACTTCTTGGAGGTCTCCTTTTGATTATTCTTTGATATCTTTGATCGCGGTTCACTATTCGAAACACAGGTGTCATCAACTTGTGGATCATTTGCTTGATTCAATTTCGATTCACAGACAGGATTGTGCAAACGTTCTTCAGATTTAGTCAATGGTATCACACTCACAACAGTGTCTTGTGTCTTCAGAGAAGAGCTTTGGATGTTTTGAGAGCTCTTAGTCTCAGGGAAGGAGATTTGGACACTTGAAGCGTTGTGCAAGTGTTTCTCAGGATTGGTCAATGGTATCAATCTTTCTACAGTGTCTTGTGTCTTCGCACAAGAGCTTTGGATGTTTTGAGTTCTCTTGGTCTCAGGAGTGGACATTTGGACACTTGTTGTAGCTGCCTTGGCTGGTGATCCCAGCTGAGTTTTAATTGCTGAGTTTTGAACACTATCTTCCATTAGTGCTCTCAATGAATTTGCAGGAATTGCTTCTTGATGCTTTGAGGGAGATCTTAAATCACACCAGGCTTCAGATATCAGTGGCTGTAGTAATTGATCCAAAATTTCAGTTCTTTGAAAATCTTTATCAAGATCTCTTGAATCAACAATTTGTTTCTGTCCCTGAAGATGATCCTTTGAACCAGTATCACTTTCCATGGTACGCTTACTGGGCTTACAGCCAATTGGACCATCTTGGTATTCAAATCTGTCTGATTTTCCTGTGCTT